ATATATAGAATTAGACTAGACGAGTAGAGGTTACTAAGGACGGTACGAACTTGACGGTAGACGATTTGGTGCGAGAGTATTGTGCGCGTGTTCAATAAAATATTTGTGGCGTGAGTGTGACGTGAGCATGGTGCGACAATGTACCGATGACGTAAGACGCAGCAGTGAAGTTAGTTGGGGGTTAGATATAGTAGAAGACGGACGTATTATTTGATATTGTGAAAATGATCTATAAGTGTGTGTTAATTAAGTTCATGTTATTTCATAAACTAAGTTGTTGACATTGTTAATTAGTGTCTGCGGAACATAAGAGTGATTCCCGTCCTCCTCACGAGTATAATAGTTGCCGTATGAATAGTAGTAGATCAGAATATATTGAGATTATATATAAACCGCCCATCACAATATAGTGATATCCCCCTCTAGTAAAAAAAACTAGATCAACGTATAGTTCGTAGGAAAATTAGAATCTATCACTTATTCGTCTGTTAAAAAAAAAGAAATACGTAATTTTTCTCAACCACGCCGTTTCATCCCCCACTAAGCACAACGTCACAAAGTTCGCGGCGCGCGTGACGTCATTTGTCATTAGGCTAATGTTTAAGAAAGATACCGTGTAATTAAAAGAAAATCAAAACAGGCACTAAATCACTATGGCGATGAGACTTTAACGACGTTTAGCCTGACTAATAGATCTAAATAACTTTAGTTCGGTGAATTATATTGGTGTTTAATTTATTACAGTGGCATGATGTTCTCCCTCTACTATACAAATTCACGTGCTTTTAATTTCTGCAACCTGCTGCCCTGAGAAGTTCGGCTCTAAAATGCCCATGACACAGCGGCTTCTGTAAATGCATTTAGGCTCCCGGTCCCACTTATAAGCTCCACGCAAAACGTGTGATTAATATGTGGACATGCGCTAGTGGTGGTGTCAACAGGGGCCAAGCTCAAGTCTTAAAGGTGCTCCGCACTTCATAAAAGACAAAATTGATGTTCAGATATCGTCGGACTCTGGCGTTTTGCCGACGGCCGTACTCCTAATGCACAGTCTTAGAGGCTGTCCACTGCTAACACTATTTTATGTTAAATTCAAGCCTATACTGAGCTGTGGCTTTACATTAGCTCAGTGGCGTAGCGAGGTCGAGTGTCACCCGGTGCGGCACTTAATTGTGTCACCCCCCAGAGGCGACAAACTTTCAATTTTCGATTTGTCCCATTTTACCTGCTAGTCAATACTTGTCGAATATTGTTGACAGGAGCTACTTGGTTTGAGCCTTGTTGTCAGAAGTTATTTCATTTGGAGTCAATATAGTGCGGCCTATTTTCGTCGGTAGGCATTTAGTGGCAGGCCCTTTTTGGCGGGGATGATGTGCTGAGGTTGTTTAACACCTCTAAGGACAACAGGCTTGCAATAGTTATGATCATTCGTTGTGAGCAAAGGTATGCATGAAAACGAACGCTATATGTTCCTCATTTTCATTGAGCACAGGTTTATAGAAGATTCCAAAATAGACGTCACGCATCCCCCCCCCCCCCCCGACCACCCTGCGTAAGTTGACGTCACATTAGCATTGCATATGTGACATCGTTTATGGGCAACCCCATATAACTCATTTTGGGTATTTGGTATCAACATTTTGACAACAAAGGTTATTCAAAATGTATATTGGAGGTTAGGACTTGACATCTACCCTAAATGACATCGCACACTTAAGGGGTGGAGTAACTGGTTTTGAGACGACGTTTTAAGCGGGAAGTGGGAGGGGTAAGAAACGTGAAACGTTATGTATTTCGCCTAATACAAAAATGCTAAAAATATTTTTCATTAGAATTATGGCTTGACTTTTTAATAGACAGGGCAAAAAGGTAATTTTCGACATTACGACTATTTCGTGACGGCGAAAATGGGGGGGGGGGGGGGGGGGGGAGGTTAAGGTGAAGAGAGGTCAAAAAACGGGACGTCATTTATGATCAAATCACTAATTAAAGGAAAAAAGCATGAAAATATTAAATGAAAATAGGAAACAAACAATAACACAAACAATAAGAATGAACTCAAACTAATATTTAAATAAACATTAGATATGTAGTGGTAGCTCTATAAAAATAGGGAGTATCTTAATGTATAAAAATTGCATCTCATAATAATAATTCTAGAACTGATGTTTATTGTCGTCAATTAAATTGTTTAAAGGGCAGAATAAAAAAAAAAACGCATGCTTTGTATTTAAACACAAGACTAACCTATTTAATAGCAAACATCAATACATTTCCATACAAATAGAAATTAAAGGGAAATGACTCAAAATAATATTTTCTTAAGATGGCCGCGGTTTTTAATAGCAAATTTAGTATCTGTAACATCGTTGTTAAACTTTAATTTCCTGACTTTATTGATTTAAACCTTAAATGTGGTTTAATATTCAATTATCTTTAGTATTTTAGTAAAATATGCAAAAATATATCCATATTTAAGCCATATTTATTAGTTACCTTATCCCTACATTACTAGTGACGGCCGAATTGATTACGCTAAAGCGATAGATTACCCCGCGGCAAGCAAGCTGAAGGTCACTAAAGAAAGAAAACACTTACTTGAATAATTTTACATAGAATCTAGATTTCTAGATCTACATACGCTTTTTTGTGTGGATTTTTGTGCACGCTGAAGGTGATCGATGAAAATGATTGATGAACATCACATCTAGAAGTCTAGATGTAGATCTAGTCCTAAAGTTACTGGATCTAGTTAACAGACCCAACATTAAATTAAATTTGATGATGGAGGTAGACTCGTGTCACGACCGGAACTGCCAGGTTTTCGAGCGCTTTAAAGCTTAAAAGTTCTGCCTAGGGTAGGCTAATAATAGTATTAGACTATTAGATCTAGATCTAGAACTAGTAGAGAGTAGCCTATACTATTACTAGTATTCTATTAGCCTAGTGTCTTGAATATTTTTATTTAACTAACTGTAGTGACTTGATGAAAGAATGGGATAACATAATGAAAAACTAGAGTGATATTATAAAAAAGTGGCGAACTTTCGATTTGCACCCCCCCCCCTCGTTTTCATTTGCACCCCACCCCTCGAACTTTTCATTTGCACCCCCCCCCCTCGAACTTTTCATTTGCACCCCCCTCAAACTTTCAATTTGGCGCCCACACTTTGGTCGGCGCCCGGGGACATATGTCCCCCCCCCCCCCCCCCCCCCCGCCCTCGCTACGCCTCTGACTTTATGGCAAGAGAAGATTTGTTTTTAAAAAACAGTGCATACGATTCCTTCACAAAGATTAGGTTTAGCCAGTATAGTATAGCTCACTAATGCGGATCTGCAATGTTTGACCACACTATAAACAAAGTTTCCTCCAGGCATCTCTTCATATACTTTAAACAGTGTCCGCCCCCCCCCCCCCCCCCCCCAATGTTTTTTTAGTCCGCCCCCCCCCCCCCTCCCCGGAAATTTCAAGAAAAACGAATGGAAGAAACACTGATCATAAACAAACCAATGGTGTGTGAGACTAGTGAGAGGGTTGTTATGACCCGGGTGTGTGAGAGGGTTGTTGTCCAGGATGTGTGAGAGGGTTGTTATGTCCAGGGAGTGTGAGAGGGTTGTTATGTCCAGGGTGTGTGAGAGGGTTGTTATGACTAGGATGTGAGAGAGGGTTGTTATGACTAGGGTGTGTGAGAGGGTTGTTATGTCCAGGTGTGTGAGAGGGTTGTTATGTCCAGGTGTGTGAGAGGGTTGTTATGACCCGGATGTGTGAGAGGGTTGTTATGACTAGGGTGTGTGAGAGGGTTGTTATGACTAGGGTGTGTGAGAGGGTTGTTATGACTAGGGTGTGTGAGAGGGTTGTTATGACCAGAGTGTGTGAGAGGGCTGTTATGTCCAGGGTGTGTGAGAGGGTTGTTGTCCAGGATGTGTGAGAGGGTTGTTATGACTAGGATGTGTGAGAGGGTTGTTATGTCCAGGGTGTGTGAGAGGGTTGTTATGTCCAGGGTGTGTGAGAGGGTTGTTATGACTAGGATGTGTGAGAGGGTTGTTATGAATAGGATGTGTGAGAGGGTTGTTATGACCAGAGTGTGTGAGAGGGTTGTTATGTCCAGGTGTGTGAGGGTTGTTATGACTAGGATGTGTGAGAGGGTTGTTATGACTAGGGTGTGTGAGAGGGTTGTTATGACTAGGGTGTGTGAGAGGGTTGTTATGTCCAGGTGTGTGAGAGGGTTGTTATGACTAGGATGTGTGAGAGGGTTGTTATGACTAGGGTGTGTGAGAGGGTTGTTATGACTAGGGTGTGTGAGAGGGTTGTTATGTCCAGGTGTGTGAGAGGGTTGTTATGACTAGGATGTGTGAGAGGGTTGTTATGAACAGGGAGTGTGAGAGGGGTTCACATTGTTTACTGTTGCTTTTCGTTTGCTTGTATTTGGTTCTATTTCTGTAACAATTCTAAAATAGTTCTAACAATTTACATCAACTCTTTGTTTTGAAATTAGCTATTTTTTTCTAAAAGCTGGGCATGTTAAATGGTATTACTTTAGTAATAGACCATGTACTGCACAGTTTCTAAGGTTGTTTTTTAACTGTTAGCCTGCTAGATCTAGTCATGGTTAAAAAAAGAATTCAAGTTTTGTCCGAGACTCATATGCAGTGGATCGTCTCAAGGGGGGGGGGGGGGGATGTTCCAATTTTTACCCGGGGACAAACTTTCGATTTGCACCCCCCCCCTCAAACTTTCGATTTGCACCCCCCCTCATACTTTTTATATATACCGAGGTGTCTATGGGGGGGGGGGTTATGACCCCCCCTACCCCCCCCCTGCCTACGCCACTGCTCATATGCAGCATAGTTTTTCACGTGAAGTTGATGTCTTCATGTGAAGCACTTAGATACACTGTCTGTGTGGCCATGACAAAATCCAGTTATTGGCCAGAATAGAAAACACACAAATAAAATTAAATGTAATTTTTTTTTATTATAAATGTTAGACGAGCCTCAACGATGACACACAAGCACGCCTTCAATTGCTAGGAACAATCACATTCGTTCAGGCTAAGCTATAGTTTTAGATGTTCCCTTGGCTTCCGATGTTCCTTCAGGCTAAGCTATAGTTTTAGATGTTCCCTTATAAGAGGATTTAGATGTTCCCCAAGGCTAAGCTAAAGCTTCAGATGTTCCTTCAGAAAAAGCCATAGTTTTAGATGTTCCCTCAGACAAAGCTGTAGATGTTCCCTCAGACAAAGCTGTAGATGTTCCCCCAGACAAAGCTGTAGATGTTCCCTCAGACAAAGCTGTAGATGTTCCCCCAGACAAAGCTGTAGATGTTCCCTCAGACAAAGCTGTAGATGTTCCCTCAGACAAAGCTGTAGTTTTTAGGCCAGGAGCGCAGCTTGCAGGTGGGATGTCTGAGGGGGTCAGCAAACAGCCCAATGTTCTGGCTTTCTTTCTGGGTCTGCCAACAACCCCCGTGAAATGTGGGGTCCTCCACGTCCAGTACTATACGAGCCTCAGGGGCGGGTGGGTCGCCCTTCTGCATCTGGGAGTGTTAGAGGCTTCACGTCAGTTTGTGTTAGAGGCTACATGTTTGTGTTAGAGGCTACATGTTTGTGTTAGAGGCTACATGTTTGTGTTAGGGGCTAGATGTTTGTGTTAGAGGCTAGATGTTTGTGTTAGAGGCTAGATGTTTGTGTTAGAGGCTACATGTTTGTGTTAGAGGCTACATGTTTGTGTTAGAGGCTACATGTTTGTGTTAGAGGCTACATGTTTGTGTTAGAGGCTACATGTTTGTGTTAGAGGCTACATGTTTGTGTTAGAGGCTACATGTTTGTGTTAGAGGCTACATGTTTGTGTTAGAGGCTACATGTTTGTGTTAGAGGCTACATGTTTGTGTTAGAGGCTACATAGTACATGTTTGTGTTAGAGGCTACATGTTTGTGTTAGAGGCTACATGTCAGTTTGTGTTAGAGGCTACATGTTTGTGTTAGAGGCTACATGTTTGTGTTAGAGGCTACATGTTTGTGTTAGAGGCTACATGTTTGTGTTAGAGGCTACATGTTTGTGTTAGAGGCTACATGTTTGTGTTAGAGGCTACATGTTTGTGTTAGAGGCTACATGTCAGTTTGTGTTAGAGGCTACATGTTTGTGTTAGAGGCTACATGTCAGTTTGTGTTAGAGGCTACATGTTTGTGTTAGAGGCTACATGTTTGTGTTAGAGGCTACATGTTTGTGTTAGAGGCTACATGTTTGTGTTAGAGGCTACATGTTTGTGTTAGAGGCTACATGTCAGTTTGTGTTAGAGGCTACATGTTTGTGTTAGAGGCTAGATGTTTGTGTTAGAGGCTACATGTTTGTGTTAGAGGCTACATGTTTGTGTTAGAGGCTACGTGTCAGTTTGTGTTAGAGGCTACATGTTTGTGTTAGAGGCTACATGTTTGTGTTAGAGGCTACATGTTTGTGTTAGAGGCTACATGTTTGTGTTAGAGGCTACATGTTTGTGTTAGAGGCTACATGTTTGTGTTAGAGGCTACATGTTTGTGATAGAGGCTACATGTTTGTGTTAGAGGCTACATGTTTGTGTTAGAGGCTACATGTTTGTGTTAGAGGCTACATGTTTGTGTTAGAGGCTACATGTTTGTGCTAGAGGCTACATGTTTGTGTTAGAGGCTACATGTTTGTGTTAGAGGCTACATGTTTGTGTTAGAGGCTACATGTTTGTGTTAGAGGCTACATGTCAGTTTGTGTTAGAGGCTACATGTTTGTGTTAGAGGCTACATGTTTGTGTTAGAGGCTACATGTTTGTGCTAGAGGCTACATGTTTGTGTTAGAGGCTACATGTTTGTGTTAGAGGCTACATGTTTGTGTTAGAGGCTACATGTTTGTGTTAGAGGCTACATGTTTGTGTTAGAGGCTACATGTCAGTTTGTGTTAGAGGCTACATGTTTGTGTTAGAGGCTACATGTTTGTGTTAGAGGCTACATGTTTGTGTTAGAGGCTACATGTTTGTGTTAGAGGCTACATGTTTGTGTTAGAGGCTACATGTTTGTGTTAGAGGCTACATGTTTGTGTTAGAGGCTACATGTTTGTGTTAGAGGCTACATGTTTGTGTTAGAGGCTACATGTTTGTGTTAGAGGCTACATGTTTGTGTTAGAGGCTACATGTTTGTGTTAGAGGCTACATGTTTGTGTTAGAGGCTACATGTTTGTGTTAGAGGCTACATGTTTGTGTTAGAGGCTACATGTTTGTGTTAGAGGCTACATGTTTGTGTTAGAGGCTACATGTTTGTGTTAGAGGCTACATGTTTGTGTTAGAGGCTACATGTTTGTGTTAGAGGCTACATGTTTGTGTTAGAGGCTACATGTTTGTGCTAGAGGCTACATGTTTGTGTTAGAGGCTACATGTTTGTGTTAGAGGCTACATGTTTGTGTTAGAGGCTACACGTTTGTGTTAGAGGCTACATGTCAGTTTGTGTTAGAGGCTACATGTTTGTGTTAGAGGCTACACGTTTGTGTTAGAGGCTACATGTTTGTGCTAGAGGCTACATGTTTGTGTTAGAGGCTACATGTTTGTGTTAGAGGCTACATGTTTGTGTTAGAGGCTACATGTCAGTTTGTGTTAGAGGCTACATGTTTGTGTTAGAGGCTACATGTCAGTTTGTGTTAGAGGCTACATGTTTGTGTTAGAGGCTACATGTCAGTTTGTGTTAGAGGCTACATGTTTGTGTTAGAGGCTACATGTTTGTGTTAGAGGCTACATGTCAGTTTGTGTTAGAGGCTACATGTTTGTGTTAGAGGCTACATGTTTGTGTTAGAGGCTACATGTTTGTGTTAGAGGCTACATGTTTGTGTTAGAGGCTACATGTTTGTGTTAGAGGCTACATGTTTGTGTTAGAGGCTACATGTTTGTGTTAGAGGCTACATGTTTGTGTTAGAGGCTACATGTTTGTGTTAGAGGCTACATGTTTGTGTTAGAGGCTACATGTTTGTGTTAGAGGCTACATGTTTGTGTTAGAGGCTACATGTTTGTGTTAGAGGCTACATGTTTGTGTTAGAGGCTACATGTCAGTTTGTGTTAGAGGCTACATGTTTGTGTTAGAGGCTACATGTTTGTGTTAGAGGCTACATGTTTGTGTTAGAGGCTACATGTTTGTGTTAGAGGCTACATGTCAGTTTGTGTTAGAGGCTACATGTTTGTGTTAGAGGCTACATGTTTGTGTTAGAGGCTACATGTTTGTGTTAGAGGCTACATGTTTGTGTTAGAGGCTACATGTTTGTGCTAGAGGCTACATGTTTGTGTTAGAGGCTACATGTTTGTGTTAGAGGCTACATGTTTGTGTTAGAGGCTACATGTCAGTTTGTGTTAGAGGCTACATGTTTGTGTTAGAGGCTACATGTTTGTGTTAGAGGCTACATGTTTGTGTTAGAGGCTACATGTTTGTGTTAGAGGCTACATGTTTGTGTTAGAGGCTACATGTTTGTGTTAGAGGCTACATGTCAGTTTGTGTTAGAGGCTACATGTTTGTGTTAGAGGCTACATGTTTGTGTTAGAGGCTACATGTTTGTGTTAGAGGCTACATGTTTGTGCTAGAGGCTACATGTTTGTGTTAGAGGCTACATGTTTGTGTTAGAGGCTACATGTTTGTGTTAGAGGCTACATGTTTGTGTTAGAGGCTACATGTTTGTGTTAGAGGCTACATGTTTGTGTTAGAGGCTACATGTTTGTGTTAGAGGCTACATGTCAGTTTGTGTTAGAGGCTACATGTTTGTGTTAGAGGCTACATGTTTGTGTTAGAGGCTACATGTTTGTGTTAGAGGCTACATGTTTGTGTTAGAGGCTACATGTTTGTGCTAGAGGCTACATGTTTGTGTTAGAGGCTAGATGTTTGTGTTAGAGGCTAGATGTTTGTGTTAGAGGCTACATGTTTGTGTTAGAGGCTACATGTTTGTGTTAGAGGCTACATGTTTGTGTTAGAGGCTACATGTTTGTGTTAGAGGCTACATGTTTGTGTTAGAGGCTACATGTTTGTGTTAGAGGCTACATGTTTGTGTTAGAGGCTACATGTTTGTGTTAGAGGCTACATGTTTGTGTTAGAGGCTACATGTTTGTGTTAGAGGCTACATGTTTGTGTTAGAGGCTACATGTTTGTGTTAGAGGCTACATGTTTGTGCTAGAGGCTACATGTTTGTGTTAGAGGCTACATGTTTGTGTTAGAGGCTACGTGTTTTTTTTTACAACCATCTAAACTTCTCTCATATATTGAGTAAAGTTTTTGAAAAATCTTTACAAACAGATCTAGTACAGGCAGCCTAGGTTAGAACTAGCAAGGGTTAGAACTCAAGACCTACTTCATTGCGGACTTCCCAGAGGGGGCGTGACTCCGGTAAACGTTCGAGTAGAGTTACATGTTTCCGGGTGGTTAGTTCGTCGCCACGTCGTAGGTTGCCCTCATAGTCCAGGCCCCAGCTGGAGAAACAAAGCGGGATTTAGTATGTTTGTTGGGCTGAGGGGGTGGGGGTGGGGGGGGGGGGGGGGCTCGGATCTGTCGCATTATAGATGGTGATGGTATGCACTTTTTCCCCAATGGCACTATAACGACCCAGGTGTAGGTCTACAACATATTAACTTCAAGTCGGTCTCCTAAATAGTGTACAGAGTGGAGACAAATATAACCAAGTGAGACAAATCTAACCAAGGGAGACTAATCTAACCAAGGGAGACTAATCTAATCAAGGGAGACAAATTCAATTAAGGAAGACAAATCTGAAGCATCTACGAGGGAAAAATCCAAAGCACATAGAGGAGGTAAATCTAAACCACTCAGGGGAGACAATCTAAAGCTCTCAGGGTAGATAAACCTATAGCACCTAGTGAAGAAAATTGGATGTGAACACCCAGTGGCGTAGCGAGGTCGGGTGTCACCCGGTGCGGCACTTAATGGTGTCACCCCCCCCCCCCAAGGGCGTAGCGACTCTTCCCGGGGACAAACTTTCAATTTTCGATTTGCACCCCCCTTCGAACTTTCGATTTGCACCCCCCTTCGAACTTTCGATTTGCAACCCCCCCCCCCTCAAACTTTCGATTTGCACCCCCTCCTCGAACTTTCAATTTGCACCCCCCCCCCCTCAAACTTTCGATTTGCACCCCACCCCCCTCAAATTTTTCTCTATTTTTGCCTTGGTGTCACCCCCCTAAGTGGTGTCACCCGGTGCGGTCCGCACCCCTCGCACCCCCCCCCCCCCCGCTACGCCTCTGTGAACACCTCTGCTTTTATTATACGACTATATGAAGATTGATAGAGAAATATTGAAAACCTGTGAAACCAAGCTGGAGTAGGTACGTTGTAGATCCAAGGTTTGCCGTTTGCCTCCATGGTGAACTCGTTTGTACTGCCGTCTGCGAGACAAAGAGCGATGTTGCCAGGTTTTTCTCACTAGCGGTGTTAAAGATAGCAAACATAACAATGGATTAGATTCTGATCATGTGGAATGGCGTCAGGTAGAGACATACGTGGTCACGTAGACACACATGGCATCACGTAGACACATGGCATCACGTAGACACACATGGCATCACGTAGACACATATGGGATCACGTAGACACACATGGGATCACGTAGACACACATGGGATCACGTAGACACACATGGGATCACGTAGACACACATGGCATCACGTAGACACACATGGGATCACGTACACACACATGGGATCACGTAGACACACATGGGATCACGTACACACACATGGGATCACGTAGACACACATGGCATCACGTACACACACATGGCATCACGTAGACACACATGGGATCACGTAGACACACATGGGATCACGTAGACACACATGGGATCACGTACACACACATGGCATCACGTAGACACACATGGCATCACGTAGACACACATGGCATCACGTAGACACACATGGCATCACGTAGACACACATGAGATCAGTTATATGATTAGGATGTATTTACGTGTCTACACAGTATAACACAGTTTATACAATGCAATGCTCAATGCTTCATTCGTCTATAAGTTTCCTGTTATTTCACTACGTTGTGCCCATGACGTAATTGCTGGCATTGCTTATTTAGTTATTACACCATCGTGAGGTATGTTAATTAAACCATCCAGTGATATGCTGATACCGCCATCGTATGGTATGTTAATTAAACCATTCTGTTGTATGTTAATTAAACCATTCTGTTGTATGTTAATTAAACCATTCTGGTGTATGTTAATTAAAGCATCCAGTGCAGTGGTATGCTAGTGATGGTTTTATTTGATTAAACCAGCTGTTGCGTTGATAGGCCTTCTTGATGTTGGTGTGGGTGGCGGTGTGGGGGTCGCTGGTATATTGCCGCTACTGAGAATGACCGGTCCAATAGTCACCAGCCTTCTTCTACTGCTGCCCTACTGACCGTTGGTAAAACACGGGGGATTTCTTGCAAGAAACTGGTGTCTTCCTTTCATTCGCCCAACTTGGGGTGGTGTTTCAATACAAATAAACATCCAGCACTATCAGCTGTCACCCACCACAAATCATCTTCGACGTTGCCTTCATTTTTTACTATCGATGTCACTTCCATTTTTTTTTTAACTACAAAAAAAAGCAACAACAGAACATAAAATGGACAAAAGTCCGTGTTATGTCCTGACCGCCAATCAAACCCTACGAACAAATAAACAAAAATAACCGGAAATCACTTTGAATCTTTTGATTTTGTGTAGATCTACAACCAGTTAATTTATCGTGGTCGTTTTTTTTTTTTATACCAACAATCGGTTGTAAATGGCCAATAAACAGCAAGATACAAAGATAGCATACCAGGGTTAGAAAGGGACGTGGCAAAACGCGATATAACAGTAATTACTAGATCTAATTATAAATATATTTTCGTAGATCTAGAATATTATTATTGTTGTTAACATTATTAAAGTAAAATAAGATAAGCTGTTAAGCTTTTACCGCCAATTTTACAGTCAGTTCCGTGTTTTTTTTTATCGACCGTCTTCAAGTTTAGTTCGGAGCGAAGCAAGTTGAGCATCTGAAGATGTTTGTAGAAGTAACCACTAGGGTCTAGATCTAGATTCTAGATCTACTTCCTTTTAAAATAGGTTCACTTTTGTACACATCTTAGAATGACGTCATTGAATAATTAATTATCTACAACATCTATGTGGATTAGCAATACATTTAATTTAGGTTAACGAATACATATTACTTTCAGATAGGTGAAACTGCGGAAGCTCATTATATGTAATCATGATCATTAATTCGTTGTTGTGGGTTACCGTGAATACATTACATAACACGAAAACATTACAATAAACGACGTTGTATTTTCAAAACGTCAATTATACTTCAGATGGGGGTACCGTCGGCGTGGTCGAGTCAGTAAAGCTAAACCGAAAAGTCTCGAAAGCTCATTAGCTGGGGGCATCAACTCTCTAGGAGAGACAACTCCAAAATCAAAATAACTGCTGCCTTGTAGTTCATTCTTGGTTGGACAAAGGCTATGGAAGCAAATCCAAAAAACAAAAAAAAAAAGCAGGCTGAAATCGGGAGTCAACAAATGGCGCGTAACCAGTTGAAACGTAATATTTAATTGTGTTGGAGGGTGTGAGGGGGAGGGTTTTCGAGAGATATAAATGAATGTATTTGTATACCGTTATGTATAATATTGTAGTGTAATCAGAGGCGTAGCGAGGGGGGGGGGGGGGGGGCGGGGGTGCGGACCGCACCGGGTGACACCATTTAGGGGGGGTGACACCAAGGCAAAAAAAATAGCAAAATATATTGAGAAAAACTTGAGGGGTGGGGGTGCAAATCGAAAGTTTGACGGGGGGGGGGGGTGCAAATTGAAAATTTGTCCCCGGGAAGGGGTCGCTACGCCTCTGGGGGGTGACACCATTAAGTGCCGCACCAGGTGACACCCGACCTCGCTGCGCCACTGAGTGTAATACACATCCAGTTCGCGGATTGTGTTATCGTCTTTTTAAAAATGTAGCTGACCCAGTTTAGTGATGGAAAAAAACACGGAAGGTCCAATTCAAGGTAAAACTATAATATTATTTATTTACACATCAATCTATTTACAGCTAACACTCGACTTCTTACTAATACTTTAAATATGCAACCAACACTTCTCCCTACACACTCCCATGACCAACTCTAACACTATCTACATTTTAACTCTCTTTCCTCTAGCGCTACCTAACTCTAATCCACGTCTCACGTGACCAGTCATCTCCTGCAATTCTATTGGTCTACCTGACTACGCTTTGCTCTGTTTCTGCTTTCTTCTGCTTGACCTCTATGACGTATAACTTGCGTCATCACAGAGGGACTTTCTTCTAGAACTTAAGAACAAAGAAGAAGAAAGAAGAAGATGATGAAATACTGAACATTTTATAAATAGGCTATATGGCACCATATGCCTCTCCCTTGAGCCATCAGCTGTTTGAAGAGAGAGGTCACAAGCAACATCTAGCTCTTCTCTACATACTTCAAATTATCCAATCATGTAACCGACTATGGAGCAATTCATGTCGCCTTTACTTTCTCTAGCATGATTCCGTGGGCTGGGCCGCCGGCAAATATAACACTGGGCCGCCGGCATTGGCAAAATCAACAAAAATGCCTGCCAATGGGCCCGATTTGAGATGCCTTTAAAGTGAACTGAATAATGGCACTATCAAAGGACAGAACCAAAAATTATGCCCCGTATAAGGAAGTTGCATTTAACAGTATCTATTTTCTAGGCCTCTCATACAGAGTTTCTTCCAGGCATCTCTTCCTGGGGGGGGGGGGGGGGAGGGACCGCCCCTCCCCCCCCCCCCCCGAACGAAATGAAATTTATATAATTTATATAGAAAATATATACTTTTAACAGTGTCCGCTCCCCACCCCCCCCCCAAAGAAAGTCTACCGCCCCCCCCCGAACATTTCAAGTGCCCCCCCCCCCCCGCCCCGGAGAAAAAAGTCTGGAAGAAACACTTCTCTCATAGTTCTAGAAACCCTTGATGGTAAGTATAGTAAAACTGGTTTTATATTTTATAGGCCTAGAGCACGTGTGTATTAAATGATTCTTGAATTTTGTATAAAAATATGTATCCCTTCTGCCTTCTTGAAAGTGGGATTTTGTAAATAATTTGTGAAAATAAAATGTCAGTAGAAATCAACAAGCTCTAGAACCACCATGATTTTGACACAACTTGATCTGCAATAGCAGTCCAGCTGCTTGTGTAACACAATCTCAAACTCTGAAACCGACCTTACAAGTTACTAGCATTAGCCGATTCGCATTGATTTTCTGTAGAACTACTAGATCTAGATCTAACTGCTGTAAAGCTAAGCCCTAGGATAAGGAGCGCAATCTATTCTGTACTGCAATCTATTCTGTACTGCAGGATCATATTTTATTTATTTCACTATCCATACAGGCCAGGCCCTGCACTGTTGACTGTCATTTATTTGTTGAGGTAAAAACAAATTAAAAGTTAGATTACTAATTACTAGATCTACTATTTATTGTTTTTAATATTTAATATTCAACTTATTTCAACTTAATTATTTATATATTATAAGACTTATTTCAATATTAATATTTGTATATAGATCTAGCACTATCCTCCACTTATGTGCTCATCATCTTCACTCATATAGTAGTCGATCTCCTTACCAAAACCGGAAGTCAGAACCTGACCCTGAAACGTCATGCTCTTTTAGTTTCGCATTTTAAGTGTTTTTGGGGGGTCCTATATACAAAAAATGAAAAAACTGCTAATCTAGCAATATCTCATCACTATTTTAATGCGAAATGCTAAGGAAATGGATACTATGGCTTAAATGCCAGAAAACATTTGCGAGATATGTAGTAATAATTAATACAAGCATTTCTTATGGAGCACTCTCATTAGGAACTGAACTGCAACGAAAAAACGACCGACCTCCGGCATCAGCGCTCGACAGCTCCTAGATAAATATATATTTGAGATATTTACCATGATTAATTACAACTAGAATACCCGTCATCCGTTGGATAACTGTGGGGTTTCGGGGGTCATCCATAAAAAAACATCACGTCTGTCACTCAGAGGCATAGCGACCCTTCCCGGCGCCCGGGACAAACTTTTCGATTTTAACCCCCCCCCCCCAAGATTGTCGATTTTTAACCCCCCCCCCCCTCAATACTTTTGATGTGCACCCCCCCCCCCCCCTCCCCCACTCAAACTTTCGATTTGCACCCCCTCAACCTTTCAATTTATTTTTCCAAACCATTTTGGCCGCCCCAACATATGTCCCCCCCGCCCCCCTTCCCCCCTCCACCTCCCCTTCCCCCCCCCCGCCTCCCCCCCTCCCCCCCCCCGCCTCCCCTCCCGCCCCCCCCACCCTCCTAGCTACGCTACTGCATGTGTCACTTATGGTCACAAAAAACAGACCCCACATTCAAAAATATGTTTTTTATCTTTTAAAAACACCGAAAACACCGATTTCGGACTATCCCTTCATATACTGACGTCACATGTGACCTACTCAACTCTACTTCACCTGCCCAGTGTTCCGCCAAGTCTCAGACAACATGTTTTTATCGTTTAAAAAACGATTCCAGCCGAGCATGTCTCTGACCACACTATCCTTTCATATGCTTAGGACAAAGAAACAGATGAACTCTACTTCACCTGCCCTGTATCCTGCCAAGTTCAGATAGGCAACTTTATCATTCACATCTAAAAAAAAAAATATTGAAAAAAAAATATCATTGACATATTGGTCTAGAAACCTGTGCCACCCACATGAGAGCGGGCTACGCTACCAACTTAGCTATTTACTCGTGACGTCACAAATGAATTTTTTATACTATATTTTGAGTCTCCGCGCATAGATCTAGTAGTAGTAACTTTCAAATTAAATTTAATCTTAAATTAGCCAAACAAAGATTTATATAAAATAATTAAGGCCTGAAATAGATTCTAGATGTAGTAAGGCCTGAAATAGATTCTAGATGTAGAATTTACATTAAGTCTAGATCTAGAATTTACACTGAGTCTAGTAGTGACCTAGAATCTAGATCTAGGCTAGATCTAGGCTAGATTCATAACTTCCCTTCGACAGCTGATCTTTAGATCTAGAGAAATTTATCGTAAAACTAATGTAAAAGACAGTTGAAAATTGATATAAGTGTTGGAACGTAATAAATACAGCAAACGGACGTATTGTTTAAGTTATAGCCGGCAGAAAATTAGCTTTGTAACGCGTTAAACTTTTGAATGGGCCACAAAGTCTATGATGAGTCCGCCTTTTTATTGAACCAAAAAGTAAACACATCAAGGGACGTCACTATCCCCACAAAGTTTATTCAAAGTATTAACATTTTTAAAAAAATACGGTTATTTAACTATGAATAAATCAATAAATTAATTAACGTCTTTAAATAAATTTGTGATTAACAGTCTGTCTGCATTAAAAAATTATTCTCTACCTACATACTATTTTACAGCTCTCCACATAGAGCCGAACATATCAGGATACTTGATCAGGCAAACAAACAAACAAACAAAAAAAACAAAAAAATAAATATTCAAACATGTAAACAAACTTGACTTTTAGTAGTATATAGATGATGCTGCTTCCCTTCTGCCAAAAATCCAATTCCCCATAGAGAAATACCATGCCGCTGCTATTTTAGCAACGTTACGCCATTGTTACGCTAGTTGTCAGATAGAAACCAACTAATTTTTGTTTTTGCGGAATGCACTGTTAAGTCTAGTATTTTTAATTATAATTCAGTTTTAGCATGTGCAGAAATTGTGGGCATATTATTGTATTAAAGTATTAGTAATTTTATAAGTATATTGATTTTTTTTTTCTTCACTGCAAGCCAAGTAGGCCGACTGCACTGTTAGTTTCATTGAACATAATTCGTGACCGGTCATTAACCTTGTTTATATTAATACTTCGTGGCCTACCCGACTGTATAATTTATATGAAATTATATGTAGTTTTTAATTAGGCCTTAGTATTGTATTTTAAACAATGCTCATTTCCGAGCCTTTTTGTGCTAGATGTACTTAGGCCTACTGGCAATTTTTTTTTATTTTTAGACTTGGTCAACCTCGTTAATGCTGTTGTGTTAGTTAAAAAATATAGGAATTGTGTGTAAAATTTACGCAGTTACTCAGTTACTACGTAGAATGATATCAATAAATGAAGTAGTAATTATTTCCTTTTAGTTTTAGAAATCTTTTGATACAAAATGTCTAATATTTTATTTTCCAATACATCGTGGTGTGTGGCAGAGTAAACAGGAACGGTGCGGTAGGTGACCTAGAATCTCCGAGTTCGAATCCGACGTAAATCAGTTGTGCGTTATTTTATTGTTTCACATGGGAAATGCCACGAGCGGTTTTATTTTCTTTCTTTTCAAAAAAAATTTTTTTGAACGAAATAATATTTAAAAAAATAATTATTCAAAATTTTCCAAAACATCATCGCTCGCGAGATCGACTGCTTACATTTTCTTGTCTGCGGGAGAAAAATGTTGACACGGTCGAGGGTTCACCGTGAGTTCAGCAGGCCTACCATACATACGTCACAGCATTAACTATTGCTGTTTAGAGATCGTCGGTGGGCATCCCACCCCTCCCCTCATAAACAAGCAAATTGTAAATCAACTTAGGGTCATTTTAAGTTCACGCAAGCTTACAGGACTGTAGATTTACTACGCATAGCTGGTAAAAAAAAAAAAAAAAAGAAAACTTCGCCTAACCTAATGCTACTAACAGAAGAGAATACTAATTATAGAGTATTTAATTTGAAAGTTAAAAAAAAAATTATTTATCATCTTACCTAATAATACTGTATTGTCGTTACAGTTAGAAGGACTAGATCTAGATTTCTGTCAGATCTATTTTTAGTTTTGGATATTAATTTTATTGTCATCTTCATGGGTATTGATTGTTCAATTCATCATGGAATGCCTAATGTCTTAATTGTACATTGTACATAGAATTTATAATAAATATGTCTGATATTTCCTTAATAAACATAATGAATATAAAGTTTTATTTCTAACAAAATGTTTTGGTTTTTTTTGGTAACTAAAATACCCAATGTTGTCGTAATTGCTATGACATCATGCTACGAATGGAAAACACCAAACCAACGTAAACTTTTTTGATATCTTTTGATGGCGAAAAGAGTTCGCATTTTAAGATGTTAATAGGTCATTTTGTTTTTGTTGTTTTCTCGGCCCCTATTAAGCTAGACCATTAAATTTGGTCTCAAATTAACCAGTAAGTGATATGGTTTGTAATGATATATGATAAGTGACAGAAAATTTTAATTAAAAAATTGTAATAAGACAACCTATCATATAGTCATCATCATCATGCGCTGCCCAGTGTTGGAAATTTATGTAAACATTTTAAAATAAAAGTCTAAATGTAACTTCAAAGAAGACTACAAGGGGTAGTCCATAAATGACGTCACACTCGTAGGGGGGGCCCGTAATGAGTGTGTGTGTGGGGGGGTCATATGGTGTGATGTCACACTTTTGCTTTATAAAAACTCAATGTTTAAAAACAAATGTTGGCCGGTATTTTGCTTTTTAGAAAACTGTTTTAATAAAAATTGTAATGGGAATTGATTAAAATACTCTATGTTGACACTAGTTGACAGAGTTCAGACAAGATTTTGGAAAAATATATTTTAAGAAAAATTCAACTGCAATTTTGAGGGGTTGTAGGCTGAGGTCTTACGTCATTTTGGGGGGGGGGGGGTGGGGGGGGGGGTTCTGGCTTTTTGTGACAGTGCTGATGGAGGAGAGGGGGGAGGTAAAAATTGTTAAAAAAAAGTGATGTCATTTATGCATGACCCCTAAGAGCATTTTTTTTTAAAAAGTAACTCAGCGGGTTTTGCCAAGTGGCCTCCTCAAATATCAATTATTAGAAATGGTTTAATTTTCACACCTATTTGAAAATTCTGTAGAACAAATCTTAAAGGATTTATGTTTTTTTATCCAAGTTATTATTGTTTATTTGTGTAGTGTATGCAATCAAAGAACTGGGGAAATCAAGTTTAAATTCCAGACGCAGTTATATCCCTTTAAAAAGGTAAAAATGAGCCATAAAAATAGTTAATTTTTTAATTAAATTTCACACCTATTTGAAAACCATTTATAACTGTATTATTATAAGTATTTAGTAAAACAAGAAGGGGAAGGCCTACGTACTAGACTCTATTGGCTAAAAATTTTGTTTGTATATTTTAGTATAATTAAGCTATATTAGATAACTGCTTTTATAGGACTGTAATATCAATCATATGTATTATAACTATTCATTGTGTGATATAACTATTCATTGTGTGATCTTAAGTGAGTTTTAAGAGTAACTTTTTTTTTAAAGCGTTTGTGTTCTATCTAGATCTAAACTAGAGGTTTTGAGATTTGCAACAACCATATTCTCATGACCTCATGTAATATCACAAAGTATCAAGATATTTGAAAACGTAAAGCCACAAGTACAAGATGGACGGTGGACCTACATTGCTATTTTCCTTATTACAACTTACTGACAGTGGTAAGATGTCGATTTATTCTTTTTAAATTTTATCAGCTGAATTTTAAGAATTCTAGTATGAAGTCAAAATGTGTGTTCTTAAAATTACTGACTGTCAAAAACTCTGCCATTATATAAATATTACGTCTAACTTGGGTTTTTGTGTGGTACTTATTATGTTTAGAAGCACATAGCTTGTAATGTTCAATGTAAATTTAAAATTAGCTCTAGTGCTGCTTCATTAAGACCTATATTGAAAATACCTTATGGACTAAACAAACAATCACCAATCAAGAAAAAAATCCATAAATGAATAGGTTAACCCCGGGGGGGGGTGGGTTGTAATGGCTAGAGGTAAAAGGAATAATTACTAGTTGGGTCAGTTGGCAACAGTAGGCTTGACCACATGATACATAAGAAAGTATTTTTTTCTTCCTCAAATTGGAGTAGATGGAAAATTTGTAAAAAAATTTAAACAATGCTATGATTTCTTTTTCCAGCTTTTCCTACAGGAAGCTTTTCTCACAGCTTAGGTCTTGAGACTTTTGTGCACATGTTGGCCAGGAAAACTTAAGAAAAGGTTAAACTCTCATTCGATGATGTGTGTGTGTGTGTGTTTAACCTCCATTTAATGATGTTTTTACTTTACCTAAGTATGCCAGCAGCAATGAGCAAATTATATTTGATTTTCATATTAACGCTTTTGTATACCTTATTATAAAGTATTTAATTTGACTAATTTGTTTAGTGCAAATTTTTGTTTCAGATCCAAGCAAGCTAATTCATGGATTTATTTGTATTCTTGAAAATTCTGGTAGGTGTTTTACAAATAAGACAAAAAACGGATTGACTCGACTTTTTAAATTTAAATTACTGATTAAATTTTCTTAGTTTTTAGTGCGAAGGCAGGGCTACCTACTTGAAAGGTTTTCTCAACAAAGTTTTTCAGTAAGACTGTTTGGGGTTACAGATTTGCCTTCTGTTTTAATAGCATCTTGAAGAAGTGACAAAAAATTAATTTAAAAAGGCAGCAGTTGACTTCAAAATTCTAAAAAAATCTTGAAAAGTTCTAAAAACTACGCTCTGAGTATTTTGTTGTACTTTTCCATTTCCAGTGGTTTACTCTCAGTTACTGCTAGTTAGCTGAAGTGGAATATTAGGTAAATAACTGTCTTTGTTACTGAAAATGTTTATTAGGATAGGCAGCCCTGCAAAGATAACCAATACGAATAAATTATACTATTATAATGTTTTGTAAACTAATATCTGTTTTTCTTACTACCCATAATTGGCCATTATTTTTAAAATCTGTATACAGGTTCTAGTAACATTCCTTTTGTGAAGCAGCTCACGATATAGTGACAGCAGAGAAAGGTCTTGAGACCCAAGTTCGGCAGTTAAAAGTTTTAAAGCAAAACTAACAGAAATGGATAAGATGCTTGAAGCTTGCTCAACCAATCATATTGCTAAAAGGGCCAGTACTCGGCAGGTGTGTTTTGGTGGGGTTTTTTTCAAAGAAATATTCTATACTTTCCATTGATACAATGTTTAGGTCAAACACTTGGGAAAATGTATTTCATTTACTTTTATTTTTTGCACAATCTTAGGGGAGAACGTTTTTTGAGGTTTGCAAGCTCTTGTATGCGGCATCCAATGAAAGTGTATTCACCACCCTGAGTGATCTCCCATTCTGTCACTACCCAGTTGTTTATGGGGCTGTTTTGGCAGGACTTGGTCTGGATTTGGAAGTTACTCTGTCTTCCTTTATTTTTGGTGTTTCAAGAACCTTGGTTTCCACTGCTGTTAGGCTGGATGTTTTGGTGCAATGGAGGTAGTTTATTCTGAAACTTTCTTGTTTTATCTTTAAATTATTTATTTCACTGTCGTTGAAAACAGATCTTTATAAACTACACATTTTTGAGCAAAATACTTTTTTAAAAATTTCTTGTCAGGGGCAAGAAGGTGCAACACATCTTACATCAAAGTATACCAGCTATTTTAGAAAGGTAGGCTTGTTTCTTATTTTAAACAAGTTGCTAAATCTCTAGATAACAGATGAAGCAGTTTATATGTTAGTGTAGCTGTTGTATGTGAAAGTATTATGTTCCTGATAAAAGTATATGTAAAGATGTTTACTTCTATACATACACTTTTCTGAAAGCAGAGAATTAAAAATAGATAAACCTAATAATAACTTATGATTTTTTCTTCTAGAAATGAATCAAAGAAAGTGGATGAAACAAGCATTAAGTTTCCCTGTAATGGACATCCTTCAGAACTCCCATGACAAATTGTTTAGTAAATTATTTTACTCATAGCTCCATAC